AAAAAAAGTTAAAAAATAGATAAACAAACGCTTTTTTTTATGTTTCCTTTTTTTGTATTCAAAAAGAAAAAAACTATAAACAAAAATTGATCCCAATCAGTCCTAAAATGTATGTAGGTTAGCTATTAAATTTGCTCTTCCACTTGAAACTTAAATAAAATAAAATAAAATATTTTATTCAAATCTAACAAACTAGGCCAAGATCAAAGAAGTCATCGAAAATAATATATTCAAAATATTTTTTATCGATACCATCATACATTTGATATAAATCTAAATCTATTTCTAGGAAGATCAATTGAAGGAGAGTCCCCATTCAACAAATCTCCTTTAAAAGTCATGTCCATGCTTCAGATATAAATCTAAATCTATTTCTAAGATATCAATTGAAGGAGGCCAACTCTGAAATGACTTTTCGTTTTTTGCAATACAATTTCCAAAAAAGACTAGACGATTCCCCTTTGCCAAATGAACTTCTTTTAGGAGTCGATGTTCTCAAAAAAAGCCTAACTTTATCCTAGAACGGTACCATTATGAGTTTATATATATATATATATATATATATATATATATATATATATATAAATATAGATTAACGTTGACAGTTACATTAATGGGCTTTAATGCAAAAAACATCCGTTACAAAATAAATGCACACCGTCAATTACAATTTAATTCATTAAACCCAAAAAAATAATGAAATTATTACAGCTTCATAAATAATAAAATATAACTCATATGCATCTCTGTATGCGGTGTCCGATCATGGCCGGTGATCTACGATGAGAATATATTTTAATTTTTATTTTTAAAAAAAAATTTATCCTGATCGTCATCAGAATCGGACCGTCAGGAATAATTTTTGTATAACTCACACCCGAGCTTTATTGGCCTCGGCGCAAGCAACTTCTAAATCACCAATGAAGAAAAGTATCCGATCAGATATATGAGAGACGCACGCTTCTTCATCTTCGATTGACTTTTTTCCATTCCATTGCCCTAAATGCCGCTGAATCTCGCCCTGATGAATCAAATAGCAGTCATCCCCTTCCTTTATTATCTTCAATCCCCTGAGATTTGAAGTTCAAAATCAAGTAATGAACCGAAAAGGATAAATTTGCAAATACTAAGATTGGTTTAAATATGTTTTAGAATAGGGGCATTTACAGGCCGTATCGATCGCATCGGTGTTGGATCGCATAAACTTGCTGCCATGATTTGGAATGGTGAGGAGAGAAAAAGTTTGCCAGATCTGCTCCCCATCTGAGTAAGAAGAGCTGAAGCCATAGGGCATCATCAGAAGCTGCTTTCTTCCACTTCCTGCACACTGATTTGGGGTTTGTGTTTAGGTTTCGTTTTGATTCAGAGGAGAATTTAGCAGGTATCAATTAATTAGAGAGAGAGAGAGAGAGAGGGATGACCTCGGAGAGCGGTGGCGAGATTTTGATGATCCAAGAATCCAAAGATGTTGAGGCAGAGTTCAGCGGGGAGATTTTCCATTCTCCCTAAAATTGCGGTTTTTGGAGAAGAGACGCGATTTTCTCGTTCTGGCGGGTGGAGAGTGCTGCTTCATATCCATTTTGCAGAGGGAGCGTCGCCCCAAAAAACGTCAACGAGAAGCTTTTTTTTCTAATTAAAAATTTAGGTTAAAAAGTTTGTAATTATCATAAAAGTCGGAATCATTTCTCACCAATAGGGCTGTCAAAACAGGTCGTTGCTCGTGAAGAGCTCCTGTTCGATCCGTTAAGAAATTTATGTTCGGCTCGTTTAGTTAACGAGCCTAACACGAATAAGAATTTGTTCTTCGTTCGTGTTCGGTTCTTTTTTGGCTCGAAATACTACTCATTAATTATATATGTGTATGTGTGCCGCGTACTCAGATCAGTTGGTCGGACATTTGCTTATCATTTTTAAGTCCTCTGGTCTGGGTTTCGATTCCCCTCTAGTGTAAGTTGTGGTACTCGAATTCTCAGGCCCATAAGGGATGTCCGGAGCTAGTATAATAGCCTTCGATCGTTTATATATATATATATATATATATAT